GTGAATGTGTGTGTAGTGACATGAGCGTGTATGTAAGGTGAAGTGAGTATCCAAGTCATAAAGAGTTTCCTTAAGGCTTTAAGATCCTATGTGAACTCATTTTTGAGCTTCAAAATGTTGGTCTTAGTCATCTCAACCAAGAGTTAAGGACTTGAGACCACCCATGTGAGATTTCACAAAAAATTCAACAAGTGTTTTGAGTTTCTAAGTGAGGTAGGTCCCATCACTAGTCTTCTAGGATAGTTAATAGGGATGTCCTATGATTAGATCCTAAGTTTTAGAGGAAGAATTTGAACCTCACAAAAAATGAAGTCAACAGACGTTACTAGGCAGCTCCGAAGTGATCTCAAATGACAAAGTGAATCAATGGTGTAAGGCTACGGATTGAGTGGTAAGAAGTTAAAAGAGTTGCCTAAAATAATTGAAGGATAGATGAAAATGAACTTTGATTTGAAAAATAAAATGATCAAACATTAGAAAGTTTTAGTAAAAAAGGATAAATTGAAAAAGACTATTGCAAGCATACCAACTCATTTTCCACAAACTTCAAAAACAAATTTGGGATAAGCAATTTTCTAAATTTTCAAAATTTTTAAAGAAATTTATAAGAACATATTTGTAGAACTCTTAAGAAAATGCCTAATTATATAAAATTTATGAAAGACATCTTAAATAAAAATAGAAAATTAGAAGATTTTGAAATTTTGGCATTTATAGAGAAGTGTAGTACTATAATTGCTATTTTATTTTTTATACCACACAAATTTTGATTATATTTATTTATTTTCGGTGTGGATTGCAATATTAAGAATAATATACTATTTTGAAACATATAACTATTAATTTACAATTGATATGATTACTTAGATAAAGAATTTTATTCAAATTTGATCGGCTTACCTTAACAAATAGGTCTCTCATACATAATCAAAAGTTATATAATGTTTATTTTAACATGAGCTATATGTTTCTCTATAGGAACAAACCCCTATAATTAATTATATTTAAGTCTTTTGTTTATAATACTCTCGATCAAGGGCACACTTATGTCTCCATGAATTCAAAGTTAAGCTTTTAAGATTGAGAAATGAATTCTTATCTTGTAAAAATGAGATGAGAAATCTTGATAATATTACAGTTGGCTTAAAGGAGAATACGTCTTCTATCTTTCTTAATGCCAATAATAATCGTATTGATGAGGGGATTCTGAATGTTAATGCTGTTGAAAATGTTAGCGCTGCTGAAAATGTCATGGAAAATGTTTCTACTGGTGATAGGGATTTGGTTAATAAGTTAGCTCTTGCTAAAGCTGACTTGGAAGAGGAATGGCTTGTTATTAAATCTAATAAGAAGAAAATTAAGTGCATAAGGGAGCTGAAATATGATAAGCCTAAATCTGCCTTAGTTCAAATTTGTGGGGTTTGGAAAGGGAAGGAAAATCAGTTGGTCATCTCTCCTAGGCTTACTAGGGGGAGAAAATTGTGTTTTGATGTTTAAACTTTTGATTTGGAATATTAGAGGTATTGCTGATGTCAATGCTTCTAATAGGCTTGGAGATATTATCAGAACTCATAATTTACTTTTATTTGGGGTTTTGGAACCTTTGGTGGATGAAAAGTTTCAGAAGGTTCGACTCTTTTGCTAATGTGAATAACTAGATTTGGTTTTCTAGAGTAATGTTGTTAATGTGAATGTTATTTTTGATCATTGATAGTTCATTCATTTGAAGATTAGTTTTGTTAACTATTCTTTTCTTGCTATTATTATTTATGTTGGTTGTTCAAGAATTGCAAGGTTGGATTTATGGAGTAATCTTATTGCTTTAAAAAATTTTTGTGTGGAGTCATGGATTGTTGTAGGGGATTCCAATGCTATTCTATCATCGGAGGAGAGAAAAGGTGGCAAATTCCCTAATAAGAGCTTAATTTCTATTTTTTCTGATGTGTTGTTTGAGGTAGGGCTCCTTGATCTTGGCTACCCAGGTATCCTTTTACTTGGTATTGTGGTAAGGTATTTGAAATGTTGAACAAATATGTTGCTAACAATCATTCGATGAATTTGTTTCCGACTACTTATGTTATTCATTTGCCTATTGTTTATTTAGATCATGCTCCTATTCTACTTAATGTTAGTATGTTTAATAAGCCAAAGGAGTATCAGTTTAGATTTTTCAATATGTGGACTCTGCATAGCTCTTTTGCTCAATTTGTCAAAAGATAATTGGGTCACTGGTTGTACTGGTAATGCGTGTAGAAGACTTTGGGCTTTGCATAAATCACTGGCTTTTAAACTCAAAAAGTGGAACTGGCATATTTTTGGGAATTTGCATACTTTAGTTCAGTTGGCTGAGGATAATATGATGAGGCTTGATGAGGAGTATAATAATGATTTGACTGTTCATCTTACTTTGTTGGCAGGACAGGAGAGGTTGACGAATGCTATTGCTATGGAGGAGGCTTTCTGTAAATAAAATGTTGTTGGTCATTCATGTTTTTTGCAGATGATGTTGATGTTGTGGGTGGTATTGATCTTGTTGTCATTCATGATAGTGATGAGATCAAGAATGTTGTTAATTCTTATTGGTTGTTAATATTTCATGTCTTATTTCTCTTGTTATTTGTGTTTTAATAGATAACTGTTATTTACTGAGTTTGTTTGTCAAATTCATTCTTTGTTATTTTTGCATGATAGGTTCTATTCAGCCACCAGAAACATCGTCTCCATCAGAGCAAGCTTTTAAATTTTAGTTTTTTTTTCTTAATTTTTGCTTTAGCTATTTTTCTTTTGGGTATGGATAGTTGTTTCATATTGTTATTTAATTTTGATGCAGTCAATTTCCTACTTTTTTTTTCAGATATATTGGTGAGTTATTCATTGTGAAATAAAATGTTTAATTTAAGTCTTTTGTTTATAATACTCTCGATCAAGGGCACACTTATGTCTCCATGAATTCAAAGTTAAGCTTTTAAGATTGAGAAATAAATTCTTATCTTGTAAAAATGAGATGAGAAATCTTGATAATATTACAGTTGGATTAAAGGAGAATACTTCTTCTATCTTTCTTAATGTCAATAATAATCGTATTGATGAGGGGATTCTGAATGTTAATGCTGTTGAAAATGTTAGCGCTGCTGAAAATGTCATGGAAAATGTTTTACTGGTGATAGGGATTTGGTTAATAAGTTAGCTCTTGCTAAAGCTGACTTGGAAGAGGAATGGCTTGTTATTAAATCTAATAAGAAGAAAATTAAGTGCATAAGGGAGCTGAAATATGATAAGCCTAAATCTGCCTTAGTTCAAATTTGTGGGGTTTGGAAAGGGAAGGAAAATCAGTTGGTCATCTCTCCTAGGCTTACTAGGGGGAGAAAATTGTGTTTTGATGTTTAAACTTTTGATTTGGAATATTAGAGGTATTGCTGATGTCAATGCTTCTAATAGGCTTGGAGATATTATCAGAACTCATAATTTACTTTTATTTGGGGTTTTGGAACCTTTGGTGGATGAAAAGTTTCAGAAGGTTCGACTCTTTTGCTAATGTGAATAACTAGATTTGGTTTTCTAGAGTAATGTTGTTAATGTGAATGTTATTTTTGATCATTGATAGTTCATTCATTTGAAGATTAGTTTTGTTAACTATTCTTTTCTTGCTATTATTATTTATGTTGGTTGTTCAAGAATTGCAAGGTTGGATTTATGGAGTAATCTTATTGCTTTAAAAAATTTTTGTGTGGAGTCATGGATTGTTGTAGGGGATTCCAATGCTATTCTATCATCGGAGGAGAGAAAAGGTGGCAAATTCCCTAATAAGAGCTTAATTTCTATTTTTTCTGATGTGTTGTTTGAGGTAGGGCTCCTTGATCTTGGCTACCCAGGTATCCTTTTACTTGGTATTGTGGTAAGGTATTTGAAATGTTGAACAAATATGTTGCTAACAATCATTCGATGAATTTGTTTCCGACTACTTATGTTATTCATTTGCCTATTGTTTATTTAGATCATGCTCCTATTCTACTTAATGTTAGTATGTTTAATAAGCCAAAGGAGTATCAGTTTAGATTTTTCAATATGTGGACTCTGCATAGCTCTTTTGCTCAATTTGTCAAAAGATAATTGGGTCACTGGTTGTACTGGTAATGCGTGTAGAAGACTTTGGGCTTTGCATAAATCACTGGCTTTTAAACTCAAAAAGTGGAACTGGCATATTTTTGGGAATTTGCATACTTTAGTTCAGTTGGCTGAGGATAATATGATGAGGCTTGATGAGGAGTATAAGAATGATTTGACTGTTCACCTTACTTTGTTGGCAGGACAGGAGAGGTTGACCAATGCTATTGCTATGGAGGAGGCTTTCTATAAATAAAATGTTGTTGGTCATCACTTTGTTGATGATGATAGAAATACTTCTTATGACCGTGCTTTTATTAAAAAAAGAAGAATGGGCAATACTATTAACAGGATCAAACAAAATAATGGAAATATCTTTCTTTCTCTTGATCTCATTGAGGCAGATGATATTGTTTTTTATACAAAGCTGCTTAACAGTGACAGTAGGGTGCTGGCTGGAATTGATATGGATTTTTTTGCAGATGATGTTGATGTTGCGGGTAGTATTGATCTTGTTGTCATTCATGATAGTGATGAGATCAAGAATGATGTTAATTCTTATTGGTTGTTAATATTTCATGTTTTATTTCTCTTGTTATTTGCGTTTTAATAGATAACTGTTATTTACCGAGTTTGTTTGTCAAATTCATTCTTTGTTATTTTTGCATGATAGGTTCTATTCAGCCACCAAAAACATCATCTCCATCGGAGCAAGCTTTTAAATTTTAGTTTTTTTTTCTTAATGTTTGCTTTAGCTATTTTTCTTTTGGGTCTGGATAGTTGTTTCATATTGTTATTTAATTTTGATTCAGTAAATTTCCTACTTTTTTTCATATATATTAGTGAATTATTCATTGTGAAATAAAATGTTTATTTTTTTATGCAAGTCTTTCTTTAAGAATACAAAACATGTTTATTTAATTTCATAATATTTTATATTATTAGGGTGTACCACCTTCTGTACATTGGGTGTGACACATGCATCTCACCATTGAAGATAATGAAGTAAAAAATATTAATCAATAGTAGCTGAATTAAAGAGCAGAAGTTATGATTATAACCCATGACAGAAGCACTTGAATGATGAAGTCTTATGAGATTGTGTCATAGGCCTTTTTAATGTCCATCTTAAAAATCAAATTTCCTCAACTATGTTTCTCCAAACCTAGAGCTAATTCATGTGTGATAAGTATATTATTAATGATGTTCCTGCCTTAATGAATGCATCTTCATAGGGCTGATAATCTTTGTGGTTAGGCTGGATCCTGGTAACTAATATTATGCTGACATTCTTGGACACTACAATGTAGAGACGGATGGGCCTAATGTCAGACCAATGTGCAAATGCTTGTCGCTTAGTATTAAAGCAATAGCAAGGGATTTAAAATACCTAAGAATGTTCAAACCAGAGAAGAAACCCAGATGGAAAAAATCAGATCTTTCTTAATGATCAACCAACAACTTTTATAAAAATGAGCTATAAAACCATCAAGGCCTGTTGTATTTGAATTGTCAATACTCGAAACAGCCAAGTGGATCTCTTCCTTAGTTGGGATACCAATTAATTGAAAGCTAGTAACAAATTCATGTTAGCTTAAAACAACTCCCAATTAATTTGCAAAAAACCATGTGCGGCGGCACTAAAGACCTCCTGGAAGTAGTCAATACCATCTTCAACAATCTCCTTTTTATTAGTGAGCCAGTTCCCAATTTGGTTTTTGATCTTAGTGATTGCATTTTTTTGTCTCCTCCTTTTGATTAATGCATGAAAATATCTTATATTTCTATCTCCCTCAACAAACTATTGTTAAGCAGCATTCTGACTTAATAAACTCTCTTCCAAATTGAAAGCAACAATATGATTATCATGCGCTTCAACTAGCTCATCCAAGGGAACCCTATCATTACAGTAATCTTCCTCTTTTAGCTCCACCAAATCCTCAGCCTGTTGCACTTTCTAATTGGCATTACAAATTGTATTCCAGTTCTACTACTTCAAAGCTTTTGCTAAATGTTTATGAAGCCGCCACAAACGAATCCATCGGTTTCCCCTCTAATCATAGATCAAATGGATCCTAATAAAGTTCAAAATGGAATGGTAAGAGCTCCACATATTGAGGAATTTGAAAGGTGTATACTGAAGTTTAGGAGTTTCATCTTTAATCAGTAAGTTAGGTGAATGATCAGGGGCCGTTTTAGAGAGGTGTTGGTCTTTAAATTGACTACAAGCATCCATCCATCCGTAAAGTATTAGCCAAGAAACTGTCCAAACTGTCAGAAAGATTGCCCCTTCTCCAAGTAAGCATTGAACCAGTATAACCCAAATCAAATAAATAAGCATCCTGGGTAGTGTCAGCAAAAAGATTGATCAAATTCTAGTTTTGTGGCCTACCCCCTTTCCTTTCACAACTGGAAGATGCCATATTGAAGTCCCCATCTATCACCCGAGCTTCCTGACAATTTGAGCCAAAGCATTTTATATAATCGCATAAAATTCTCCCATCATCTCAACAACATCCAACACAAACAATTGCAAGAAAGAAAAATGATCTGGTTGAACTTGATTCTAACCATTATGAATTTCACATCAATCACCAGCACTTCCACATCATCTGAATTCCTCCAAATAAGCCTTATTTTGTTATTGGTATTAGTTGTAAAGTTGAAGTTGCCAACCTTCTCAGGTACCCCCCAAAGGCTCCAATATGGTACAAAAAGTAACATGTGTAATCTTATTATATATTTTAATCTATTAGAGGATTTAACTTTAGTAATGCTCCTTATATTCAATACTAAGGATTTAAACTTCATTTAAATAAGTTATTTGGACCCTCTAGTGACCCTGGGGGGAGTAGAGATAAACCTCTTAGGTGGCCTGTCATTAAAAGAACTTTGTAACATATCAGCATAGGGGTTTAGGTGTTTAAATTCTCTAAAACCTTTGACTCTCCTTTTTCTAGTTTTCTGGAGGATCCATTCCTCCTCCAAGGCTGCCTTGGTCTATAAAATGTCTTCGGATGACACACCTTCAGAATTACATGGGTTGCCATCATTGGCATCATCTTTTGCAGAATTATCCACCAAATGATCAGCATCAACCCCACAGGCATTAGCTACACCAAGCTTAAGTGAAGGGCTAGAAAAATTAGAACCAATGTACCCCACCTTTAATGGCTTTAAAATTAGAGTTGTTTTCTACTTTTTAAGAACTTCTATAATAACAGGAAGTGCACTATTTATAGAAACAAGATGAGTCAGTTCTTCATTTAGCAGATGTTGAGCAACATTAGATGGATTAACACCATATAACTCCTCATCAGGCAATAGAATATCCAGTTGATAATCAACCCTTATATGAGGTCCAGGAACAGTTTGAGAGGGTTCAGGAAAATCAGGAGCATAAAAGCTTGATCCATTGTTTTTTTTTTAAATGAAAATAGTTTAATTTAATATATATAATTTTGATTTTGAAAAATGAAATTTTTTATTTTGAAAAAATGAGGTCGAATAGATCTCATATATTTGATGATTTAAATAACCGAGCACGATATTCAGAGTAATCATTCATCTCGAAAAATGAATATATCACTTGATAATAGTCTCAACTATTCAAATCAAGAAATTTATGATATTTATTTGGTCTGCAAAATTTTCAAAAGATCATTCCCCTATTTAATATAAAAATTAGATAGGGTTTAGATTATCTGGGTTACTAATTCTCCTGTAAGCGCAAATCCCTATAGTTAATTACATTTTAAGCAATCAAAGTCACTTAAGATAACTATCGATTAAGATTGAGGTTTCGTCTTTAAGAATTTAAAGTTTACTTTTCACGATTGTTCATAAGAAATTCAAGTGAGAATGACTCAATGATAAACAATTATTTTGGAAATAAAATGAGCGAAAGGTAGGAGATGTCAGAGATTCTGAGGAGAACCTCAATGATTTCCCAAACTATCCTACTATTTGGCTTTAGATTTTTGAAATGATGTTATTTGGTGTTTACTCCTATTATTTTATTTTAAATTTAGGGCCTACATTGTGCAACATACGATCAACGCAGATAGCCGAGAAAGATAAACGGATTTATGTCGTACTGATGAACAACCTTGAAATCCTAAAAAGAGTTAGAGTTTATATCGCACGTCACACAATCATGCAAAAACCAAAAGATAGTATGAGGACTCACGTCGTGTTAGACGGGAAGTCCTAAGGATTTATGTTGCTTAAGTCTATAAAAAGTTTAGCTGAGGATCATCATTCGCTTCATTGTTTTGGTCTTGATAGTCGTCTGAAGGATGTCCAGAGCTCGATCACGTCGTCGCCTCATTACTTGAAAAGAGAGGGGAGAGAGAAGTCATGTCTCGGACGGCCTATCCTAGGTTATTTGTTTTAGTGTTATGATTTTAGTATTTATTTTGAGTTGATAATTATTGTTATTATTATTGTCATTTATCATTTAATCAGTGGGTTGTGTTATGTGTTCTTAAGAATTATTAAAGTTTTGTCAAATTGATGTGTTAGTCGTGCGTCATAGGGTTCCGCCTAAACATATGTCCTACGCCCTCTATCTTAAGGCTTCTTATATGAAAAGAGCTACACGTTTAAAATTTTACACCCTAAGCATGTGTCTTATGTTCACTACCATAGGGCTGTTTTCCACATATCAAAAATATAATGAATAACAAAAGAATAACAATGTCGCATGCATAAACAAGGCATGTACAATAAAGTGCAGCAAAAGAGAAAGTGGTAGTGCCTATCTATTGCATTTGATGACATTTCAGAAAAATTGCATATATTCGAGAATTAAACAAAAATTAAATGTTTGAAAATTTAAACAATAAATATATTATAACATGTGAGATATATGAAAGATCAAACCGGGTATAAGTATTTTGAGTTAGGGATAGACTCAGCTTCAAGATCTTTAGCCCTAATAATTCTTCATGAGGAACTCCATAGGCAACCATCGACATCTGTGCTTGTGAAGTCCAACTTTAGATACATGCTACCGACAAGATGATCACAGGAGGGTAGTTCTTAGCCCAATTAAGGTATCTGACAAATGGACATTCAAAAGATTGCACCCAAGTTTCTTAGTTTGTCGTACATATAAATAAGAATTTTACTTAGCAAGAAAAGATTTTTATTATATTATTATATTTTTTGTAAATCAAACGGTCCACGAGTCAGCCACATATCATCAATTCTGAACCCTTAGAAAGTTATTGGGTGAGAAGATATAATACTATTTCGGTGTCCCAATTTTAGCACCATATGCCTTTTGCATCATCGCCCTTTTTCCCAATCCTTCCCAATTATAAACCAGCTAGATGATCCACATAAAGCTGCCACATTATGAATGTTTCCACTTAAATCTTAACATTTCCTCAACTAATATCAAGCTGAATATATAAGAAAACTAAGAGGATTTGCATACATACTACTCAATTCCAATGTGATTTACATGTTTAGCTCCCAAACTTCATTTTTTTTCTTAAACGTGGTAATCAGGTCAGGTATCTTGATGCTCATATACGACGGAAGGAATTTTCTCATCACAAAAAATTCCATTTGACATAAGGGTCTAAAAAA